TCCATTAACATTTAAAACATCTGATTCTGATGTTGTAAGAATTTAGCAGAATCATTATATGGGGTAGATATTAGAATGAACAATTTTTTTTAGAAGTACTTTGACCTTGAAGAATCCTTGTGGAAAACTGAATGTTTCCTGTGATCGGTAGAATTGTTTTGCCGGGATGGCGACTTTGGTCACCAGATGCTTCAGGCACACCGTAGGCTCTTGTATCATTGTGTATTGCACACAATACATAATAAAGGACTAAAGTCATGGAAGCATGCGATGCTCTCCTTCAGTAAGACATGTAAATTATGATTAGGGACCATGGTATGAGGAAATACTTTGTGTAACTTTCAATAAACATGCCTTGGTACAGCTGTTCGGGGGTTCGGTCTGTCAGAAGAGGCTGTACGTTCCTGCTGCTGCATAGGCCGTAAAATTTCATCTTGGGAGTGCCTTCTTTCTTCAATTGACCAGTGACACACAGTGCACCCTGACATTCCGACATCCAATTTACTTGGCTATCATTTAAGGTATTGCATTATTTGACTTTGTATCACGCAAATGCAGCTTTTTCCAATCATAGTTTAAAGTGCAGGATAAACACTACACACCCCACTAGGAATCTGTTTACTTATAAGACCTTTAGTGTCTCCTTCAATAAATTACCACACATCTAGTCATCCTGTAGACATCTCTATTCCATAACCTACATTATGACAGATCATACAAGGTGATCCTGTTGGTTATTGGTTTACCATAATAGGCCTCGCTACATAAACATCTATTGGAATAAATGAAAATAAACAGGATTTATTAAAAAAAAAAAGAAAAGAAAACGTTGTCCACATGACATGCAGCCATGTAGCAGCTTACAGTTTTGTCTTCTAGGTATGAAAATATTATTTAATAATCTATACTAAGAACTAATACAACGTTACTAGCTTATAGAATCAATGTTTAAAAAATTATAATCAACTATGTGTAAGATAAAACTTACCATTTTAAGTACTTAATTCAATGTTATTAGGCATATTCATAGTTCTGTGTAACCATCACCACTGTCCATGTCCACCCAAGGCCACTGGAAGCCACTGTTCTACAGTTTGTGAATTTACTTACCACCCCTCCCCCACCTTTGGTGTTGGGTTTGAATGCAGGGCACTGCCCATATTAAACAAGTACTCTACCCTCAGCGTACCCCCAAGCCTACGAAGTGGAGTTCTTGTAGAAAAATCTAATAGCTGTTTGGTATGTCCAGTGTTTAAGCTTTATAGAAAGACTTCAAGGTTTGTTCATTGAGCATATATATGGAAGTTTCTTTTCTTTGAGGTTGAATAATATTCCATTCTATGTATATTTGAAATTTTATTCATTAAAAATTCATTTTGCCAGGGCTGGAGAGATGGTTCAATGGTTAAGAGCACTGGCTGTTCTTGCAGAGGACCTCAGTTTATTCCTAGCACCCACACAGTGGCTCACAGCTGCATTTAACTCCTGTTCTAGGGGATCTAACACCCTCTTCTGACCTCTGCAGGGACCAGGCACCCTCGTGATGAGCAGATATACATGCAAAGCAAAACATTCATCCACTTAAAATAAATAAAGATTTAAGTTAAAAAAATTTGTCTTGCCTTTCGCTCTGGCGATTGTGAACAACAATGCTATAAGCATAGGGAGTTCCCACCATTAGTTTTTGGGACAGACTAATTAGTAGAATGGGGGGTATGTGATAACAATCATATAATCAATTTTTTTTTTTGGCAATCTACTGAACTATTTTCCACAGCATTTATATTACTTTACACTCAGACCAGCAATACACAAGGGTTCCAGTTTCTTTATCACTCTAATGGGTGTGAAGCAGTGTCTAATTTTAGGTCCATGTGTTTACTGCCATTTGTATAGTTCTTTTTGGAGAACTATTTACTTAAGTCCTTTGACCATTGTGTGTGCCCATGTACACATAGATGTATGATGTGCGTTTTAAGACAGTCTCCCTGTACACAGCCCAGGCTGGCCTCAGCTTCTGATCCTCTGCTTCAACTTCCAGAGTGATGAAATGTCACCATGCCCAGTGTCTTTGGCCATTTTTAATTTGCTTGTTGGTTTTCTTCTTGTCATTGAGTTACACATTTGGATAGTAATCCGTTATTAAGCATGATTGATAAATATTGTCTCCCCTTGTATGGGTGTTGTTTCACACTCCAGAGTCTTTTCTTTGAAGGAAAAACCATTTTTTTGGGTAGGGGGGGGTTAGTCACAGTCTCTTTTTGTAGTCCAGGCTAGCCTTAGACATATATTGTCCTCCTGTGTCCTCAGTGATGTGTTACAGGTGTGGTCTGCCATTTCTGGCCATAAAAGTACTTAACTTTTGATAATTCCAATTAACCTTTTAGGTTTTGACTGTTGCTGTGCTTTACACACTTGCTTTGTAAAGTGAAGACCATTTTGATCTCACCAACGTTTTCTATAAACATAGTCACTTTGGGGATTATTCTTTTTCTGTTCCCTGAGGTCTCTTCTCTGTCAAACTTCTGGCATCAATCGATGATTGATGCCTTTACACATAACTGTAGTCCTTGAAAATTTTCATTTATATATTTGATTGCTTATTTATTTATGGTGTGTGCACACCAGGCTGCACACATGGAGATCAGAGGATAACTCTTGGAAGTTGTCAGTTCTCTCCTTCTACCTTGTGGGTTTTGGGCATCACTTCAGGTCATCAGGTTTGGTGGCAAGCACTTGTACCCATGGAGAAATTCCCCCCCCCAAACCCCCCTTCTATAAAAGAGTTGTTTGTGTGATCTAAGTTTTTTCAAAGGCTCCATCTTCATTCTCTTCCTAACTAAGGTCACCTGTGACTATCTGTCCACTTGCAAATCTAAATTAATTGCATTTAATTCTCTCAATCTACTCCTCAAGCCTCACTCTTTTGAATCATACATATCTTTTACACAGTGCTTATAGTTTGTCTTCCTAGAGGCTAGAGCATTTATGTCCTGCCAGTCTAATCTTCCCAGACTATAAAGGGTGAATGTCAATGTCCTCACAGTCACTCTCAGAATGCTATCCTGGTGACATATTGCTCTATGTTATTTAAAGGGCTAAAATAGCACATCTCCTACTCACTTCATTGACCTTTTAGGAAACAATATGAGGGCTGGAGAGTTGACTCAGTGGTCAAGAGCACTGGCTGCTCTTCTGAGGACCTGTGTTTATTTCCCAGCACCCGCATGGCAGCCCACAACCGTCTACAACTCCAATTCCAGAGATCCAAGTCCCTCTTCTGGTCTCCACAGGCACCAGGCACACATATGGTACACACTCATATATAGAGGTAAAAAACCTTACACACATAAAATCGGAATAAAAATTAAAAACCCCATTGTATAAACACACACACACACACACACACACACACACACACACACACACACACACACACACACACACACACTGCAGCCTTGTAAAGAAAAGGCAGGTTTTAGTCAAATGAGACTCCAGCAGCTATCTGTAAGTTTTCAAGTCTTTCTCGTCTATTTCTTGTCATTGTCTTAATATTCTTGTTTGGATAGGAAATGTCCTCAAAGGCTCATTTGTTTGGATGTTTGATCTCTTTGGAGGAACCTTTAGGAGGCAAGACTGAGCTGGAGGAACTGGGCCCTGAAGTCTATAACTTGGCCTACTTCCTGTTCTGCTTCTTAATCTCTTGAGACATGTGGAGTCCTGCTTACACGTTCCCATTGCCATAAGCTCTGCCATACCCCTTGCCATGACAGACTTGATCCATTGCCCAGCTGAAATACAGCTTCCTCTCTTACGTTGTTTCCTATCTGGCATTTAGTTGCAGCATAATGAAAGAAACGAATGTAGTTAATGTGTAAAGAAGGTAACGTTTCCTTTCAATGGTGCTGGCCTTTGTATGCTCACACATTTGACATTCTTTTTTTTTTTTTTAAAAAGATTTATTTATTTATTTTATATATATAGTGTTCTGCCTGCATGTATGCCTGCACACTTGGAGAGGGCACCAGATCTGATTATATGTGGCTGCTGGGGATTGAATTCAGGACCTCTGGAAGAGCAGCCAGTGCTCTTAACCTGTGAGCCACCACTCCAGCCCTTGATATTCTTTCTACAGACCAATCCTTCAGTCTTCACTCAGGTGAAATCCCAGGTCAGATTTTTAAGTTTCTTTAGGCAGACTGCACATTTAACTTACTGACATATAAAAATCAATTAGTATATTCAAATATTAGGACCAGAGGATTAGAATCAGAATTGATTTCCAGGGTGACCAATGGAGACGTCATTTTACACACAAAACTTCCAACATTCATAAACGTTCACTGATATGGCTAACATCACGTGAAGTCTCAGTCAAAGCCTTCTCTATTCTATTTTTAAAGTTTCCCTTGACTTTTAATGGGCAAAAATACATCACTTGTTAAAAGAAGAATAGTTTAAGTGAACAATCCCAGTAATAAGTCAAATAAAAATTACAGTATCAAATTTACTAATAATTTATTAAGTTTAAATAGATTCAGACAGAAGGTTTTACAAATGAGAAAAGTTTTTTAAGAAGTTTTGGTTGTGGTCATAGTTACAGGTCACATAGGCATTTGCAGAAGTGTAGGAATCTAGAGTAAGAAGGGTGAATTTTACTATATGTAAATTAAATCCCAATGATTTAATCTTTTAGAAATTTATTTCTTACTAAGAAGTTAGTCCGCAGGAAATACAGAAAATACAGTGGTAGAGAAATCCACGTTGAGTGACTCTTGTATAATTCTCAAGGTCACTGATCCCAAATTTAGGGTTTTACTTATGCATTCCTACACATACATACAGCCCAGAAACAGAAGGATTACTTTTTTGTTTTGTTGTTTAGAGACAGGGTCTGCCTACCTTTGCCTCCTGAATGTTGGGATTAAAGGCATGCAATACCACACCTGGCTCTAGTTGACTTTTGTTTTTTGTTTTTTTTTTTTTTTAAAGCAACTCACCGTCTCATTTCCAAAGAGGATGTCAACATAAGGCATGACTTTCATCAAGGATTCCTTGAAGAACTGGCTAATGAACGGGGCTGACAAATTCAGAGTGAAGATCCTGTTGTTCTCAGCAGCATAGTGGGCCACTTTCAATACTGACTCCGGGGAGACTGTAAGAAAAAAGCCCTGGACAAAGAAAAAAGAAGAGAAAATCAGTGCTGGCACCTCCACACTTAGTCTAAGTGAGAACAAAAGGAATCTATACAAAGTATCAATGCCTGTACAAATTTAATTATAAACTCCGAGGCAGAAAGTGGTTGTATTTAACCAGAAAAAAGTTTATCATGTGAGTGCTATATGCTTGATACATGACATTTCTAAAAAGAAGAAAGGTTATTTCATATTAGATTATATATGTGCACTCCCAAAAAATTCTTGGAACCTATGAAACGAAAATACTCAAGAAGATAATAAGTACATCTGAATTTGAGAAATACAAATGGAGGCAGATCAAACCCTTCTAGCTTCTTATAAACTGTCACATCCTGTTAGTGATTTAAAAATAATGTTTATAAAGAGCATAGCTTACTTATTATCTTAAAAAATATTACTGGGCGGTGGTAGCACAGGCCTTTAATCCCAGCACTCGGGAGACAGAGCCAGGCAGATCTCTGTGAGTTCAAGGCCAGCCTGGGCTACAGAGCAAGATCCAGGACAGGCATCAAAACTACACAGAGGGAGTTGGGGATTTAGCTCAGTGGTAGAGTGCTTGCCTAGCAAGCACAAGGCCCTGGGTTCAATCCTCAGCTCAAAAAAAAAAGAAAAAGAAAAAGAAAAAACTACACAGAGAAACCCCGTCTCGAAAAAAACAAAAACCAAAAACAAACAAACAAACAAAACAAAACAAAAACATCGTAACTGAATTTATTTCATTTTATTTTAAAGCTTTGAGACAGTGTTCTCTATGTCAACCAAGGCTGGCCTGGGGAGTTCTAGGAGTCTGGAGATTACAAGCAGGTGTCATAATATCTGGATTTTTAAAATTAACTTTTAGGGAGAGCAAGGAAAGAGATACCATGATAAATGAAGACATCATGGGAATAGGGAGAAACAGAGTACTAGGGAAGTTCCCAGGAATCCACAAGGATGACCCCACCATAGATTATTGTCAATAGTCGAGAGGGTGCCTGAACTGGCCTACTCTGGTGATTAGATGGCTGAATACCCTAACTGTCATCATAGAACCCTCATCCAGTGACTGATGGAAGCAGATGCAGAGATCCACGACCGGGTCCTAGGTGGAGCTCCAGGAGTCCAATCAATGAGAGAGAGGAGGGGTCATATGAGCAAGAGATATCGAGACCATAATTGGAAAAAGCAAAGGGACAACTAGCCAAACTAGTGGAAACACATGAACTGTGGACCAATAGCTGAGGAGCCCCATGGTACTGGACTAGGCCCTCTGGATAGGCGAGACAGTTGTTTAGCTTAAACTGTTTAGGGGACCCCCAGGCAGTGGGACCGGGACCTGTCCCTAGTGCATGAGCTGGCTTTTTGGAGCCTAGTGCCTATGGTGAGACACTTTGTGCAGCCTTGGTGCAGGGAGGAGGGGCTTGGACTTGCCTCAACTGAATGTACCACGCTCTGCAGACTCCCCATGGCAGACCTTGCCTTGGTGGAGGTGGGAATGGCGGGTGGGTTGGGGGAGAAGGCTGGGGAGCAGGAAGAGGGAGGAAAGGGGAATTTGTGGTTGGTATGTAAAATGAATAGAAAATCTCTTAATAAAACAAAACAAAACAAAACAAAACAAAAAAATCCTAACTTTTAGTTAGAATTTTCAAATAATAAGAAAATAATCCAAGACTACAAAAGAAAAAATTTTAAATTAGTTTCATGCCAGGAAAGTTATATTTTAAAACAGTGCTTGTCTATATGTCTCAGGATAAAAATCTTCATAGCTTCTATTAACGGCTTCTAGATGGAAGCACAGGCAAAGATGAGGGTAAAGTTGAGGGAGAGTGGTAAGGAAGGTGGAGGCGAGCAAAGAGAAGTGAAGCTGTGTTAGTTAGCACGGAGTGCGTCAATGGAAAGGCCTGGAGTGGAGGACAGGATGTATCTGGACAGCAACACGGGAGTGGAGTGAGGATGGAGTGTGGGTAATGAGTTTTCCTCACAAGAAAGGAATATGACTAGAGAAAAATGCAAGAAAGGTAAACTGGATAGCAATAATTTACCAACAACTAGCAGCACCCTGCATTTGGCTATGTAAAAGGAAGCCACACTGGAGTTCTAAGTATGGGGCCTATATAGACTGTTTAAGATGTAAAAGGCACAGAGTAGAATTCTAAGATGATATTTAAACAATTAAAAACAAATCTGGCCTTGTTATTAAATAGAAAACTCCAGAATAAGACCAGGGTCACATTGTGAATAGACTATTCAGTTGTGGCCATACTACTCAAAATCTCTATAAAAAAGTTTGACTCATGAGAAATGTGTTAGAAGAAGGTTGTGGCTCTAATTACCAAGGAAGGGACTATGGACCGATAAGTGAAGAGAATAAAGAAAGACAGAAGAGGAGAGAACAAAGGATGGTTATTACGGAGAGAACGGCCGAGACACGTGACCAGGAATTTCAAGAGGGTTCTTATGTGTTCAGGGTTACGGGGAGGCAGAGACAGAGGCACTGGGCAGACACACCTGATGAGTAGAAAAAGGCACTTGGTGTGAGAGTAAACTACAGAGTAGTTGAAGGACTGCGGAGCCCGAGCGTAAGAAATACGAATCAATCATCTGAACTTTACCGATTAGTTCTGGTGTCCCAGAAACCGGACTAAAACCTTACAAACTGGCAATTATTATGAAACCTATGGAGTACATACTGTTTGTTGCTCTCACTTTAGAAATAAGTCTGAAATCAAAACAGAGAACTATCTTACAGGTTATATAGCTTACATGTGATGAGCCTGGATTAAAATGATTCCTAACAGGAGAAAGATTTTCTTTAGATGAAAGAGTGGAGATGCGAGGATAGTTCTTTTTGGAGGTCTGTTTGTTTGAGACAGGGTCTGCCATGCAGCTCAGGCTGGATTTGAACTCCGGATGCTGTAGTCTCCTCTTCTCAAGGGGTGGATAACAGGCATGAGGCACCATGTCTAGCTTCAGAGGCCAGGTCTTAAGGATAGTCATATTTTGAGCATTTCTGCTTTCTTCCCCCCCCCTTTTTTTTTTGGAGACAGGGTTTCTCTGTGTAAGAGCCCTGGCTGTCCTGGAACTCACTCTGTAGACCAGGCTGGCCTCTAACTCACAGAGATCAGCCTGCCTCTGCTTCCAGTGTTGGGATTAAAAGTGTGCGCCATCACTTCCCAGCATGAACATTTCTGCTTTTCAAAGACAGCAATCAGGTGAAGAAACAGAAGGAGAACTAAGGGAGGATAATTAGAGCACAGAATCAGAGGAAGGGCAGTCACTTGAAACTAGACAGAAAGAAGAAGAAGAAATACTGACAATATGCAGGAAATGTCTTCAAAAGTTGTGAAAATGTCCAGGCACACATAACAGTACTTGTTAGGCTGAGACTGGAAGATTGCATGGTTCAAAGCTAGCCTAGGCAATATAAGTAAGACCCTGTCCATCTCAACAAACAAACCAAAGTTGCAAAATGTTATAAAGTATCGACTTGTAATTGAAGGTCTAATCACTTACATCATATGATCATACAGAAGGGGGGAGAGAGAGAGAAAAAAAAAACTTCCATTACTTTAAGTTGAACATAATATTCTAAAAGAATAAACTTTGTGGTTGTGGTCATTTGTATAAGGATCTATCTTTAAAGGGGGTTTACTGCCCTTATGCATTCTGAAAAATTAAGAGAGACTTTTAAGTTGTAATTATATTGGGGCTCAGAACACAGAACACCAAGATATGGTACCTTGGATGTAGGAGAAAACTACAGAAGATACTTCTGTGTAAGCATTCCCATTTTACATGAAAGTAGGCCACAGGACCATTCCAGGGTCCTGCCCCATTCCTGGAGGACAAGAAGAATCTGGAAAGACAAGGTCTACTGGATGCTACTCTCTCACGTGTCGTTTATTACAATTAGATATTACATCATATCCCCTTTGTCCAATCTTGATTCTTTAAAAAAATTATGTCTTCAGAATTTTGCATGAAATTGTTTTCCCTAAGCTGTGAGACTTCACTTCTAAATGCTCCTGTGTCACATGAAATTGTCAAATAGATTCATTGTGCTTTTCTCTTGTGTCATATAAGTGTCAGCCACGACCCTAGCAATGGCAATCTATCACAAATGATGTTTCTTAACATAATAACATAATGTTTTCTCATTTAGAAACCCCATGCTGAGCTGGGCAGTGGTGGCGCACACCTTTAATCCCAGCACTCAGGAGGCAGAGGCAGGCAGATCTGTGTGAGTCTGAGGCCAGCTTGGCCTACAGAGTGAGTTCTAGGACAGCCAGGACTACACAGAGAAACTCTGTCTTGAAAAACCAAAAAATATCTGAAACTCCATGCCACTAATTCTTCAATTATTCTAAAAGGCAATGTTTTAACATTTAAAAATGTTTTCATCCTTTTTTCTTTAGATGCACGTCACTTGGACACTATGAGCATCTGAGCTGCGTTCTTTGTCATTTCTGTCACTAAAAGAACCAAATGGAGCACTTTCTACAGCATCTGTCTCTGTGGCAGTGGGTATGAACTTGCTGTTTTGGTCTTTTATTTAATGAGAAGAGTATAAAGCCCCCCCCCCCCCCCCCCCCCCCCCCCCGCTTACTTTTCTCCAAACTGTTACAGCAGGAAATAGAACCTCCCAGAGCTGGCACTCTGCCAGCTGTGGATCGACCACAGACAGCCACAGGATGGCCTATATAAACAGTAACCTGGTCAAATAATTAGGCTGCTCACCAACTTCAGACTGAAAATTTGATCTGTATTCAAATACATATGATTGTAATTTAAGTCACAGAATAGTATGCCTCTGGAGTCTAAATTGGGCCTGATTCCAAATCTATGTATGCTGGATGTGTTTTACTTTAAAATATAACATAATAGTATTGTAATGTGGATAGTATATATATTTGATTTTTTTTAATTTCATAAAGAAAAGGTAAAAATGTTAGCTTTTAAATAAGTAGGAAATGTACAATTTAATTCTATTTTAA